CGCGTGGAGGTAAGGAGCCCCTGGCCACACGGAGGTTGGCGCATGACGCCGGATCTGTCGAGGTGAGCGCCTGAGCGGAGGTGAGGATCCTCTAGCCTCTGGTGGGCGCGGGGGGTGGCAGGAGTGACTGCGAGAGTGAGAGAGAGAGGAGCCGCGGCTGGTGGCCGGTGGGTGGGAATTCCCACTGGGAATGGGGATTAGGGTTTGACAAGGGGAGCGGTGAGAGTGGCCGCATCGTGCTTCCCCTAGCTAGCGGACCGACTCCGTGCCTCCCTTTTTTGGCCAGGCCGTGCCGTGCCGCCCGCCGGGCTGGGGGAGCAGCCCAAGCACGCCCTGCTACCCCGGGTCGGGCTGGCACGGGCACGAAGAAGGCCGAGCCGGGCCAAAAAGGCGGGCTTCGGGCCGAGCCATCGGGCTGCGGGCTGCATGTACACATATATGCGCATGTTCTATTTTAAAAAGAGATAAAAAAAGGAAAATCTGCAGGGATGCAGCAGTTCGTCAAATGGGCCGCGGTGGAGTGTTAAAAGTTTCCGTTGGACAAACACCCGCTACCAATTTCCTTAAAAAAAGTCCCGTTAGAGATGCTTTTATAGCTTGCCTAAATGGGCTATATATATGCGTGATGTGCCAGTTGTCTAAACAAACCTGTATAGCCCATTATGCTTGTTAGGCCCAACTGTGTTGGCTACAAATTCTAGGTCCATATCCCTTTTCGTAGTAAACATGGGGTCTGTTCACCGAATGTGGCTAGCAAACCAGCTCGGCGCGTTAAAGAGACTTCTGGTATTCTCGCCTGGAAATAAGACTAACAAGCTGAAAATGAGATTGCTACGTTCGTTAAAAAGCTTGAGTGCTCATTTAACTCACGTGGCATCGTGTAGTCATTGTTTCAAAAACAAAAAAAATACCAAAATGAGAAGGAAAATACTTCCTATCACAAATATGAGTTTGTTAGGACATTTTGACATGATCTCTAATAGGGCACTTTGCATAGCAATATCTATAAAAGTTATATTATTTTCAATAGAAGTAGCTATATATTACAATTACAAGGTATCTTAATCCACTCAATATTAAAAAGAGAAAAAAATTCTCTCCCCTTCCTTTTTTATTCGTCAGCCCATCTCACCGCATCTCTCTCTCTCTCTCGCGCACGGCTCACTCGTGTCTTCTATACATCTCTAATCCAAATCCAATATGGTACCACGTTCCCAATCTAAAGCCAACGCAATCTAAATCCTACATGAGACTACGTTTCCAAAAACACTCATCTAGCTATGGAACATAATCTGGTTCCAAGACATTAAAACAGATGATGCGATCCTTACCTAAATCTCTGAGACACAAGTCACCTAGGTGACTGCATAACAAGCTGTATGTTTTGTTGCAATGCACGGACATGTTTGCTAGTATTAGATTTATTAAACCTCATCCCATATGCTCGTTCAAGAGAATGCATTGCATGAGTGGCTCCTCCACGTGGCAACACATGCCACTATCTATTTTGCAAAAAAACCTCCATCTTTTAAGAAACTAACCCGCTATCCATTTTGTCATCCATGAATAGTATCCACATCCTTATATTTTTCATATAGGTTCCTAATGTAAATTTTATTCTAACACGAAGAAGGGAACATTCGAGAATTGCCACTTTTTTTTGCATAAAACAACTGCGAGAGATTTTCTAGAGAACCCTCACTGGCCATTTGGCCCCAAACCCTAACCCACTCCTCATTCCCCTGCCTCCTCCCTCTCTTCTCCTGGCGACCCGCCATCAACCTCCAGCATGATGGCAGCTTAGTAGGGAGGACCAACCTCCGATGGATAAATTATGTATGTGCTAGTGCAACTAATCAGAATTGCTCTCGTTCTCGATCTCCATTTCCTAATACACTCTTTCTCTCCATTTCCTAACACAATACCCATTTACACATGGATAAATGCGATGATGAAGGATGAGTTGATGGCTGGTTTTCATAATGAATATAATAATACTTTGTGTTATTAATCTATATCTTTGTATAATAATATTAAAGAGAGTGAAGTGATTCTTTCGTGTTCTGCTTTTTTACTTCCACGTCCCCATGTGAAAGGTCCTAATATGGCTAGAGGGGGGTGAATAACCTATTTAAAAATCTACAAACCAACTAGAGTAATTTGATTAGTATGACAAATAGCGAAATGCAAACTTGCTCTAGCTCTACAAGGGTTGCAAGCCACCTATCCAACAATTCTAGTTACTATGATCACTAGACACACAATTTGCTAAGACACCACTCACTAAGAGCTCTCACACTTGCTACACTAAAGAGCTCCACTATATGAACTTAAACTACAAAGCAAGCTCTCAATTCTAGCTACACTAAAGTGCTTGCTACAACTAGTTTACGAGAATGTAAATGAGTGAGTAGGGTGATTATACCGCCACGTAAAGGAGTGAACCAATCACAAGATGAATACCAATTCAATCACCGGGAGAACACCAAAGGGCAAGAGACAACCAATTTTTCTCCCGAGGTTCACGTGCTTGCTGGCACGCTAGTCCCCATTGTGTCGACCAACACTTGGTGGTTCGGCGGCTAAGAGGTGTAGCACGAACCTCGTCCACACAATTGGACACCGCAAGAACCTACCCACAAGTGAGGTAACTCAATGACACGAGCAATTCACTAGAGTTACCTTTCGGCGCTCCGCCGGGGAAGGCACAAGACCCCTCACAATCACCACGATTAGAGCCGGATACAATCACCAACCTCCGCTCGACGATCCTCACTGCTCCAAGCCGTCTAGGTGGCGGCAACCACCAAGAGTAACAAAGTGAATCCTGCAGCGAAACACGAACACCAAGTGTCTTTAGATGCAATCACTCAAGCAATGCACTTGGATTCTCTCCTAATCTCACAAAGATGATGAATCAATGATGGAGATGAGTGGGAGGGCTTTGGCCAAGCTCACAAGGTTGCTATGTCAATGCAAATGGCCAAGAGAGAGAGAGAGAGAGAGCTTGAGCCGGCCATGGGGCTTAAATAGAGAGCCCCCATGAATAGAGCCGTTGGCTCTCTGTTCCCTAAAAAATCAGGGTGACCGGACGAGCCGGTCGGATTGATTGGAAGCAGGACCCCAACGTCCGGTCCTCAGATTTTCGCCATGTGTCCCCGCCTACAAATGCTGATTGCCTGATCTCAACGATCATCAATGCACTTAAGTTGTAACCGGACGTATTGCTCAAAGTGACCGGACGCTCCATCACTGGAGTCCGGTCATTTCCAGTAAGGCACCAGAGCCGATTTTGCACGACCGGAAGCGTTCGATCATAGGCGATCGGACGCGGACCAGAGTCCGGTCCTTACTGGTCTGTTCAGATGCTTTCGTCAGCGTACGTCATCACCTGGCCGGACGCTCCCCCAGCGCGTCCGGTCCTATTTTTTCTCAGTGTTCGGTCAAAGGTCCGAGGGCAGCCTTCACTGCGCACCACTAACCGGACGTAGGGTCAGAGAGCGGTCACTGCCCAAGGCAGAGTCCGGTCAATACGAAATAGCTCCTTTTGACCCAAAACTTCACCACCCTTGATCAAATGTGCCAACCACCAAGTATAACACTTCGTGCATGTGTGTTAGCATATTTTTCACAAACATTTTCGAGGGTGTTAGTACTACACTAGATCCTAAATGCATATGCAATGAGTTAGAGCATCTAGTGGCACTTTGATAACCGCATTTCGATATGAGTTTTACCCCTCTTAATAGTATGGCTATCGATCCTAAAAGTGATCACACTCACTAAGTGTCTCGATTACCAAAACGAAAAAACTCATATCAAGTTTCACCTTTGCCTTGAGTTTTTTGTTTTTCTCTTTCTTCTTTTCCAAGTCCAAGCATTTGATCATCACCATGCCATCACCATCATCATGATCTTCACCATTGCTTCATCATTTGGAGTAGTGCTACCTATCTCATAATCACTTTGATAAACTAGGTTAGCACTTAGAACATTAATTCACCAAAACCAAACTAGAGCTTTCACCATATTTCATATGTGATTCGGACTCATAAGCCGTGTCATACGAGTTATAATATAACTTGCGTCTAGCAATGGTACATAGTCCAATTCTAAGACGTATATATTGGGTTCTATTGCAACACATGCGCATATTTGCTAGTCTATATAAAATTAGAGGAAGTAATAGATTCATTTTTGAACCTTTCCTAGTCACTCTCTCAGTATATTAATTGTTCGGTTCATATATTAAAACTAAAAATCAGGCGATTGCTTGGTAACCTCTGTCATCATTGCAAGGGGACACAAGATCCCAAAAGGACATTATGTTTTACGTAATTTAACATTGCTTTAGCAATCACACCTTTAGTCCTATACATAGTCGGCAGCTTGTCATATACTACTACTAAATGGACGTGAACAATACAATGCAATGCAAGTTCTAGTTCTTTAACCACTGAATCGGAAGTAGTAGTAGTAGTATTCAAAAAGTGCATCAGGATCTTCTAAAACTAGTTGTAGGCTACTCGGTCAAGGATCGGTGGCCTCGCAAGGGGTGGGAGCTAGTTTGAATTAATCATTCTTCTCTTATGGATTTGTGAGAGGATTAAGGGAGAAATTAAGTCATTTCCTCCTTAATCTCATTGAAAATCCTCGTGAGAAGATGGGGATTATCCAAACTAGCCCTAAATTTTTAAAGCTGTGTTGCCACAGGAATTGCTCATGCACATGCAAGTTGCTACTTGCAAATGCAGCGTACAGGGTAGTTGGCGAGGAATGACAAATGAGTCTTTCACATACATCTGAACGAACTTAAATTTTTAGGTTCATGTTTATTCGACAATACAAAAGTACTGTGGAGAACAAACTTGTTTATATCACAAGATGACATACAAGTGAAACTTAGATTCCTGGGAAACAGTTGATAACTGAAACACATGCATGTCACAGCAAGCATAATTAGGGAAAACTAACGAGAATAGCAAAATCGATCGAGGTATTCAAGGAACAATCTTGTAGGCCTTCATCTTGTCGATCCATGTGTTGTAGGACTTCAACGTGTCGCGGAAGCCGAGGAATCCGTGCTCCTTGCTCTTGTTCATGCTGTCCAAAAGCTTCCAATTGTTGCCGTACCCATACACCACGACGTCCATAAGCCACCAATCGGCAACGTCGTGGAGGTGTGTCTCCACGAGTTGGTTCTCCCTGACGATCTCTGCCCACACCGCCTCCTTCCCGGCCATGGCCTCCGACACCTTGAACTGCTTTTCCTCCCCGTCGTATCCAGTCCACTCCAGCCTGAAACGAGCCGCAAGCATCGGCCACAGCATCTTCCAGTTATAGAGGTCTCCGTTGTTGCAGTTGAACGCCTGGTTCTTGGCCATGGGGTCCACGGCCGCCCAGATGTGCTGCTCGGCGATGAGGTCCGCGTCGGAGGCGTTACTGAAGCTCTCCCAAGAGCCGAGGCACCCCGGCCAGCGCAGCGCGACCCCCTCCTTGCGGCAGATGCATGGCGGCGTACACGCAGAGGCTGCGGACGACGTTGATGGCGCTCCGTGGGGAGAAGCCGGGGATGATGTTGGGGCGGTGCACGGACCAGCTCACGGCGCCGCCGCGCCGGGAGACCTCGGCGAAGAGGATGTCCTCTTGGTCGTAGTAGAAGTTGGGGCAGTCCCGGCGTGGCATGTCCTCGGTGTAGGGTGGGTCCGCGGTGGGCATCTTGCCGATGAGCTCGAAGGGTCCCAGCCCAGGTAGTGCTTGGTGCCCGTCTGGAGGGAGACGTGGGCGAGGCCGGGGCAGTTGGGGACGACGACGGAGAGCACGTTGCGGAGCATGGCGGAGTTGGCCTCCCGGTTCTCCGCCTCGGTAGCGCGCGGGGACCAGGCGACGTAGAAGACGTGGGTGATGTCGGTGAGTGGCGCGAGGGCGTCGGCGACGGCGGCGGAGTCGGTGAGATGGACGTGTATGTGTGTCAGCGAGGAGGATGACGGCAGGGACCAGGGCGGGGGTGGACGGCGGGAGAGCGCGTATACCTTCCATGATCCGCCGGGGGTCTCCGGCAGCGAGAGGATGTCGATGAGGGAGGTGCCTACTATGCCGGTGGAGCCAACGACGAGGGCGACGCTCTGGAAGGAATGCTGAGGCACGGCGGCGAGCTCGTCATCCTTGCGCTCCCTGACGGCGCCGATAGACCGTGCCCACCACCAGCTTAAGCTCATTGCTGCCCGCCGGCAACCCCTGCAGATTCAATGAAGGGTGGTGAACAGGAATTGCAATGCAAGTACAGCGTGCAGGTGCAGAAACATAGGTACGTTTGTTTATATTACTAGTTGAAGATTCGTTTCCTTGTTTATCAGTGACCTGCCCTGACAGCAACATCGCATGGGACGCGAAGGAGCAAAAATTAGTCAGCCTTCCGGCCGCCGCATGCGAAAGTCAAGGGCCGCTGAATGTGTGTTACTTTGATTACGTATATATCATCCGTTAGGTGGAGGACGAGAAGGATGCATGGGTATAACCTGACACCATTTAGGTCATTAGGTGGAGGCAGCACAAAGAAGAGGGAACATTTGGAGATATGTAGAACAGCGCGCTTTGCCGCGCCCGTAGAGGTTGCGCTCTTGTTACGTGTCGCAGGTCAGCTATTTGTGTGGGTTAGTGCTGAAATAAAATTGGATCGCAACGTGCTTGGGTAAATCAAACTACATACTGAGCTTTAACACAGGAAGGTCGTCATGATGATACACAGCTGAAGGAACTCAAGTGCAGAGGGGATAAATGGTGGCTTACTTTAACATAGAAAAATCAAAATAATTTGGTATATAATATTTAGAAAATTGTTTACATGGACAACCATCCTGCGACAATGTAAAAAATGGAGGGCAGAGACTGAGCAGGACACAAATACATAGATAACTGTTATAGGACCCATAAATTAAAAGAGCCTGACGACCGGCAATGTATGAGCAAAGACATGAGGAAAAAAAAGCATGACCAGCTAGTGCAAGCTAGGTCGTCAATGAGCAGTCCCAATTTGCAGAAAAGTGTCCATGAGACCATCTCAAGTTTTAGCCCTAACTCCCTGCAAAATTTTCCTCAAAAAACACTCCCTGCAAAACCTACGAAAGTTCTCATATTAATCTCGAGAAGTATCCCTTTTATGACTTATGAGAGCCAGATGACTGAACTATCTTTTATATGAGAGCTAGATAATAGTTACCTTAAAGAGAAGAATGTATTCGTCAAGGGCAGGTGTATACATGATAACTTCAATAAAATTCAGTTAGGGCACCCGCGGTGGGGGGTTGACTCGTCGTGGAGAGAGAGTGCCACCTCATCGCAGAGACCGAGTCGACTTCTTGCAAAATTGTACTGCCGAGCCCGCATAAAATATAGAAAAAACGAACATCATGCATTCAATTGTAGGACCCACAACCAAAGTTGTTTTCTCTCATGCGAAGTGGACCACTTGTTCTGTACACGGATATTTTAACAGCGATTTGAGTCGATTCTTTCTCTCTTCTGTCGGCTTTCTCTAGTCGTTTGAGTTGACTCACGAAGATCCAGCAAGGACGATGGGTCGGTTTCAGATGACCACTAGAGAAGCCCTTAACCTGTCGGTGGCTCCATGCCCGACGTGTGCTGTCTATGCTCCTCAAGGTCGATATCGCCAAGGCCTTCGACTCTGTCGCTTGGCCTTTTCTACTGGAGGCCCTACAACACCTTGGTTTCTCCAGGCGTTGGATGGATTGGATCTCTGCCCTGTTGTCGACTGCGAGTACAAGGGTGACACTGAATGGGCCAGGCAGGCGCATTTGCCATGCATGCGGCCTGCGCCAGGAGGACCCCCTGTCCCCGATGTTGTTTGTTATCGTCATGGACGTGCTAAATACGCTAATTGCTGAGGCTGATAGGCGCCTTATGCTTTCTCCGCTACCGGAGAATGTAATCAAGTTCAGAGCTTCACTCTACGCTGATGACCTCCTCGTCTTCGCAGCCCCTTTGCAGGCCAATGGGGGGGGCACTACCGGATAGAGCATCTTTGCCGAGGGCCTGAGGATTTGCCGAGGGAAAATGCTCGAAAGGAAAGACTCTTGCCGAGGGGCACTCGGCAAAGAGACAGCCTCGACAAAGACTCTTTCTTGAGGGCTAAGGGCAAGGGGCACCCCTCAACAACACCGGACACGATGTCCATCCCCTGCCGTCAATCTTTGCCGAGGGCATCACCGTTAGGCCCTCAGCAAAGACTTTTTAACCGTTTTTGAAAATTTTCTTTTAAAAAATTCTTTGCCGAGAACCCCTGGCCCAGCACTTGGCAAAGACAGTCTTTGCCGAGTGCCAAGCTGGCACTCGGCAAATTTTCATTTTTTTTTGTTTTTTTGACCCCAAATTTTTGTTGGGTCCGCCTACATTGTTTACAACTTCATGTTCAAATTTGGTGCTTTTTCTAGTTTTTTTGTTATATTTGGTTGATTAATTTGATTATGTTGAATTTTTATATATAATTCAAATTTGAACTGCAAGTGCATGGAATATTGTAATCTAGTGCTTCGAAAAATATTATTCATGGTATTTGGTGTATGTTGAGTCTCTATCCACGAACTCGCATAAAATTTCGCGCATCTTCTTCACGTAACATAACGAGCCACTTGCCGGAAAAGTGTTTTAAAATTATATAAATTCCATACGAAGTCCGAAAATCACGAAACTTGTTGAGGTGTCATGTTATCGCATGTGTAGGCTGTGGTAAAAAATTGAGAATATTTCGAGCAAGTTGCGACGTCAGATGCATAAAACCCAGACATCACCTCGCCTGCCGCCACGCCTTGGCCGCCCGCCGCCCCCCTCCGCCGCCCGCCCGCCCGCTGGCCGCCTCCCCGACCTCGGCTCCCACCGGTGGCCGCTGCCATCCGCTGCCCCCCTCTTCCACCCCAGCCACCACCATGGCTGCCCCCTTTAGGCTGCGCTTGGCTGGCCTGGCCCTCCTCCCCAGCCATCACCGTGGCCCCCTGCCGCCGGCCGCCCGGATCCACCGGCGGCCGCCCTGCCTCGACAAGCCCTCCTCCCCAGTGCTGCCCCCTACCACCCTGCCTGGCCCCCACCGCGGCCCCCCCGCACTGGCCGCCTGTTCCCACCGCCACCCCGAGGCCAGCCCTCAGCTCGGCCTGGTCGCCGGCTGGTGTTGGAGGGGAGGAGGTAGAGGTGAATTAGGAGGAAGAAGAGAAGGAAAAGAGGAGAAGGAGGAAGGGGAAGAGAAGGAGAAGAAGAGGAAAAGGAGAGGAGAAGGAGAAGAAGAGGAAGGAGAGGAGGAGGAGGAGAAGCGGAGAAGAGAGAAGGGAAGGGGGAGAGGAGTACTCTGGCGCCCTCGACCTCGCTGGAGAAGAAACTGAACCTCGCACCGCGATGCCCGACTCCACCGCAACACTAGGTAAAACTCTCATAATTGGCCTTTGTGCCGTATGTGGTTGTGTGGGCCTTCGTCCTGTATGTCGATATGAGGGCCTTCGTGCCGTTGTCGTTGTCGGCCTTCGTGCCGTTGTGAATGTTGGCCTTCGTGCCGTTCTTTTTTGCAGGTTATGGAAACCTCACCGTGCAGGGGAGGTGCTGCCGAATTTTTTAACAAATACTAACCTGTTGTCTTTTTATATTGTAGAGGATCCGTCAGAGGGGACCAGAGGACCCCGATCGTCTTCGTATGGGCGTCTTGGAGTGCACTTTGCACCGCGTCGCCTCACCACTTGCACCGACTCGACACGCCCGCTTAGCCTGACCACCACGGCACCTTAGGTATAACCCCTCTATCCAGTATCATGGTCGAGGTCGCGTAACCCAGTTAGGCGTCTCCGTCCAAAACAGAGATCTGATCGGAGGTATCTTGGATCTTTGCATATCTGCGACCGTATCTGTTTCGGATTATCCACATTTTTTGGACAGCCCGTGGATGCGTAGATGAGGTTAGTTTCCATGGTCCGCTCCGGTCTGAGGCAGACTTTCGGCATCACCTCCTTGTTGTTCTCTGGATACACACTCTCCCTTGCAGGACGTGTATCGGGAGAACGACGGGGAGGTGCTGCCGGAATTCTGTCTCGGATAGGGAGCGGAGCATGGAAACTAACCTCATCTACGCATCCACGGGTGGGATTAGGACCTATCCTCACCTATTAGAGAGTAGGAACACCGCATAGATGCAATTGATGGTTACAATACTATGTGCTGTATATGTGGAAGGATGGAAGACCGTCAGTGGATGTACACGGGCCAGAGAAAAAGGAGTGACTTTGACATTGAGTGGGTGAATGGGACAGATGCTTTCTTGGAACATGCATGGAGCTCGGTTGTAGCTAAAGGACATTCTAAACTTTGGTGTCCCTGTAGCAAATGTGACAACAACAGAAGGGTAGACAAGGTGACCATGGGTAAACATCTTGTGTACAATGGTTATACGGTTGGCTACCACCGGTGGATCCACCATGGTGAAGCAGATCGTATAAGAGCGGAGGTGGTGAGACCACGCCTCGAGGCTTTTGATGATGATGCTGGAGTAGCAGACATGCTAGATGACACTCACCAAGCTCACTTCGCAGAAGGACGTGAGAAGGAGGAGATGGAGGAAGCCGCTAAGGCCTTCTACAAAATGTTGGACTCGGCACAGAAACCCCTTCATGAGAGTACAACGGTTTCTCAACTGGATGCCATTGGACGTGTTATGGGGTTGAAGGCCGAGTTAAATCTAAGTCGCGAAGGCTTTGATAAGATGTTGGCCGTGTTTGGCATAATGCTACCGGAGAAGCACATTCTGCCGAAGAACTTGCACGAGTCACAGAAACTACTTCGTATGCTTAAGATGCCATATGACAAGATACATGTTTGTCCGAAGGGGTGCGTCTTATTTAGGAAAGATCACAAGGATGCAAAGTACTGTCTGAAGTGTAAATCCTCAAGGTACATAGAGGTAGACTCTGGAGATGGCCAGAAGAGGCAGCTTACTATCCCCGCGAAAGTCCTACGACACCTTCCATTTGTGCCGAGAATCCAACGGCTTTTCATGACCGAGGAATCCATGAAACAGATGACATGGCATAAAGAAGGTGTACGGTACAAGCCATGGACGATGGTGCATCCGTCCGATGCCGAAGCATGGACGTACTTTAATGACAAACATCCTGACAAAGCAGCTGAGGCTCGTAATGTACATGTCGCGCTGGCAACAGATGGGTTC